TGCACTTGGTCTTGTTGAACTTCATACCATTTATGTAAATGTAAAATACTCCCTGTCTTGTGTTAATTCTCTTGTTTCTGCTAGATTGTGATAGTAGAGGAAGAGAAATGGCGTTGAGACATGAAGTAGACATGACTAATAGCATGAGGAGGGCTCTGAATTTAAAGGAATGGAAAGATATTAGCAGAAGATCGAAGTTAAAAATGTTTATCACTTTGCAAACATCTGTAGTAATCATTAGGGTTCATTGTCTCTAGTGACTGAGAAGGAAAGAACCCCACAGAAGTGACTGCCAGGACCTATGTAGCCAAGTTTGGCTCTTAAGTAGATATCTGCCAGGAGATGCCCTGCTGGAAGGACTGATTTCTCAGCCTCCAGAGAATATGGAGTTACTTGGTGAAGTTGGATTAGTAGGTTAAGGAGGTATGTCTGTGTGTGTGTATAAACATTTCTTCATGTCCATACCCACTTGTCACCTTTTTTACTAGAAGATATTGATTCCTGTTATTAAGAATTGGGGGAGAAAAAAAAACCTGTAGGACTTTACTGAACTAAGGTGGAAGTTAAAATTGCGCTTTCAGACATCAAATTCTTAAACACCTAAATTTAACAAGGAGACAGAAAGAAAAACAAAGAATGAGCTTTATGAATGACATGGCTCAAATCTCCTCCTTTTTTGTTTTAGCTGCCTTGCCTTCCTACACCTTTTTTGTAGTGTTCTAAATTCTAGGCAGCAAGAGATCTTATCTTCCAAGTGATAAGTTGTAGGTGGTTCTTAAACTGACGCCTTTTAAGTGTGTGCGTCTCAGCTTCATCTTTTGAAATTGAATAAAAGAAATACTAACTAAATCTAAATACTTACTGTATTGGGCCCAAATAGTAGTGCTTCGGAAAAAAATAGCTGTCTGTTTATTGCAGGGCTCTACTTGTTTGGCTTGTTTTCAAATGTTAGTGATTTTATTTTTTAACCTAGCATAGACAAAGTTCTTCAAGGTTAATTCTGTTACAGAATTGTTAGTAAAGGATTAAGGGAACTTTCTGTTTAGGCCTTTCAGGACTTTGATACACAAAATTTGAAAATGTAGAATGCAGGTGTGCAGCCCTTCTGGCCAGATTTGAGAGTGCAAAATCTGATCACTGGGAGTTACTTGCCTTCAGGGTGACGGCACTTGTTCCTGAAACATGTAGAGAAGGGTTGGAGAGGTCAGCAGAGCTGTGATTGATACAAGTAGCTTTGGAGATAAATTTTAGAGTGTGAGAGTACTGTGGCGTAGAGAATGGAGATATGTTGCGTGATCAGAAGAGATGTGCAACTCTAATGGGGTTCAGCGTGTTTCGACTTAGTATGTGCAAGTCTCATGAGCTCCCCAGGAATTCCTAGCAGTAAGGTAGAAGTGGAACAGGGCAACACTTACTGAAGATAACTGAAAATATGACACACAGATTCGTGTGTGGGGGGACATTTAAAGGTGATTTACTCCAACTCCTCTGCATTGAGCACAGACATCTTCAACTAGATCAGGTTACTCAGAGCCCCAGCCAGCCTGACTTTGAATGTTCCCAGGGACGGGGCATATACAGCCTCTTTGGGCAGCCTGTTCCAGTGTTTCACCACCCTCATAATAGACAAATTCCTTTCTCGTATCTAGTCTGAGCCTGTCTGATTTTAGTTTGAAACAATTACCTCTTGTCTTATCACAACAAGACCTACTAAAAGGTCTGCCCACATCTTTCTTGTAAGTCCCCTTCAAGTATTGAAAAACTACAATAGGGTTTTCCCAGAGCCTTTACTTCTCCAGGCTGAACAACCCCAGCTCTCTTACTGTGTCCTCCTATCAGAGGTGTTCCAGCCCTCTGACCATTTTTCTGGCCCTCCTCTGGACTCACTTCACCAAGTCCATGCCCTTCGTGTGTTGGGAGCCTCCGAGCTGGACGCATCAGAGCAGAGTAGAGGGGCAGAATGACCTCCCTTGATCTGCTGGCCACGCTTGTTTTGATACAGCCCAGGATACAGTTGGTTTTCTGGTCTGTGAAGGTAGATTGCCAGCTCGTGTCCAGCTTTTTGCCTACCTATTCCCCCAAGTCCTTCTCAGCAGAGGTGCTCTCAATTCATTCGTCCCCCAGTCTGTATGATACTGGGGAGTGCCCCCACCCCAGGCTCTTGCACGTGGCCCTGTTGAACCTCATGAGGTTCATTTGGGTCCATTTTTCCAGCTTGTCCAGGTCCCTCTGGATGGCATCCCATCCTTCAGGTGTGTCAACTGCACCACTCAGCTTGGTGTCATCTGCAAACTTGCTGAGGGTGCACTTGATCCCAAAGTCTGTGTCACTGATGATATTAAACAGTGCTGGTCCCCGTATGGACCCCTGAGGGACACCACTTGTCACTGATTGCGATCCAGATAATGCACTGGATTTTGGTACAGCTTTTATATGTCCTCTTCCCTGAGTGATGTTTCCATTAGCAGAAGCAGAGTATTGATAAATTCTGTGGAGGTATGGAATCGTTGCGCAGATAGGGTAACAATTAAGCGTGGTGATATGAATTTCACCTTAGCACATCTGGTTTTTAGAAGACTGGTGACATGTAAACTGAATTACGGGAGGAAAAAAAGAACAATACCCATGCTCAGACACCTAAGATCCTTTAACAAAGCTGTTACGTGCAGTTTGCCTGCTCTGTGATTTCTTCATTTGGTTGAGTGTTTCAAATGTTTTTACATTTTTTTTTTTGATGAGCAAGTATTCTAGTGGACATTTAGGCAGTACTACTACTATGTAGATTGTAGTGTGAGCTGCTGTTTAGTAGTTGTGCAGGTGTAAGAAAGAAATGTAAGTGCATTCATCTGTATACATACCTCCCTCTGTGCACTAATGAGAGAACGGTGGCACCATGGGTGAAATAAGGGACTTTATCTAGGAGTAGAATTCGGGTCTCTTCAGCAGCAGCTCAGTGAGGTGGGTCGTTGTTTTTCTTTTTCTTGTTAAGTCATACAGTGATATTTAAAGAGTTTGAGTGAGCAATAGGTATTTTTTGTCCACTTGGTGGTGCCTCGTGTGGACAGAGGTGCTGACAATGTCAGTAAGAGAAATGAAGCATGGTTTGATGAGTAAATTACACAACCCTTGAAATAATTTTTAACTGTGATAAAGTTAAAAAAATATGTAAGGTTTCTGGTGCTTCCGGTTCTTTTGTACTTACCCTGAGCATCTCATTAAAGCATTAACCCTGTCAAAGTCTTCAATGCATAAAATTCCCTAATTTCTTCTGCTGGCATACGATGATCAGTATAAACATGTTTGTTCTATTGTGGACCAAGGTCTTCCCCTTTCCTCCCACTCTGCAACACACACCTCTGACAATGTCTTTACACCCTGTCCTCAGCTTTCATCTGCCTCTATTTCTGCTCTTTAATCCAGCCTACCCCTACGTTACATAAAGATAATGGGTTCCTTAGCTCATCTTGCACTTTTTTTGGTAAAAAAAGTAATAATAATAAAAAAGAAACTGATACTAGCTCAAATGGAAAGAGGAAAGTGCATTTCTACAGAGGTCAAGACAATATTTTAGCATATACCCAAAGAGAGTGTTTAGAAAGGGTAGTTGTCCCACTTACAACCACCTAATGTCATACTCAGCCTTTGTTCCTCACATGAACATTTATTTGTAAGACAACTTTTGGGCCCTTTGAATTGCTTTCTAGATTTTAACAGGTGGTAGTCTGTTGTTCATGTTTTGTGTCTAGAAAATTCTAAATCACTTCTATTAACTATCCATGTGATAATTCATTTGGTTGCTTCTTGTTGTTACATGCATGTATTTCCTAGATATGTTGAATAGAAGCACTCTGAATTTAATATAACTGGTAAGTATGATGTTTTGGTATGGTACATAGGAAAATTTAATTAAAATGCAGTTGAAGATATCTACTTAAAAGTAACCCGATTTTGATATTTATTTGTGTGCAAACTATTTGGTTGACAAGAAAAGTTTTGACTGGAAAATATGTATGTGTATGTGTTTGTTTATTTAGGCTTTACTCACGGCAGTAACATCTCAACACATAGAAATCCACGAAGGAACAGTGCTGCAGGCTGTAAGAACATGTTACAATATCTATCTAGCAAGCAAAAATCTCATAAACCAAACCACAGCCAAGGCCACTCTAACACAAATGCTGAATGTCATTTTTGCACGTATGGAAAATCAAGCAGTGAGTATCTCGATATTTTTACACAGAAGCTAGCACTTAAAAGCAGACCCGCTTGAGAGATTTGTTTTGTTGTTATTGTTGAAGCTTTTTGGCTTTCCTTACGTACAACTGAGGAAAAAATGGGATCTGATATCTTATATAATTTTGTGCTTTGCAATCTGAAGTAGCTGTGAAATGGGTCTTTGGGGGATGGAGGTGGTGTAATAGGGTTTAAACTTCTCACAGTAGTTCTCCAAATTTTGTGGATGTATTCACTTCAGTTTCTGTTGTCAGGCTGTCAAGATATGCCAGACTGCACAGGACTGCGCGTGGTATACATTGGTGGTAGTGAAATGCTCCAGTGTTGTTGTGATAATACACATCAAAGAAATAATCGACAATTAAAATAAGACACACAGACAAAAAAAAAATGGAAAACACCCTTCCAGTCATGTAATCATGTTCATTTTTTAACACCTTAAGGTGTAATAGTCACTAAAAGATACGTAAATGTCACTGAAATTGATATTAGTAATTGTCAGCAGGGACCCCAGCTCATGCCCTGTGCCTTCTACTGCTGATATTAAAGATTAATAAAACAAAATAATTGTCCTAATTCCTATTAAAAAACCCCACACAAAACCCATACAAACAAAAAAGCAGATGCCCAGATTTGAGAACTGGTTGAATTCCTAGTTCCTTATAGAAGTAATTCTGCTGCATTATTGCAAACCATTTTCTTTAGGGATGTGTAATACTTGCTTACTTTCCCCCCAGAAGCAACTGGGTATTGGTAGATGGTACCATCTCAGTTAAAGATTTCTGAGACGTATTTACGATAAACCATGGCAAAAGCCATGGAGTAGCTGAGGGACTTGAGAAATATGTGCAATTACTGTCCTTTTAAGCAACTTAATGTAGAATTAAGTACAATTAATTATTACTATTATAATTGTCTCTGTTTTTTCTACAATAGAAGTCTTCATTTTTTGCCAGACTGTAAATCTAGTCTTTATGCAAATTGATAAGCGGTTCTGCTTGTTTTGCACACCCAAGGCAGTTAGTAAAATAAGATAGCTAACAAATGTTGGAAGGAATTATTTGAGCTGGAATTTGAAAGGTAGTGTCTACCCAAGGATCTATAGCACCCCAAAAGATACCACATAGAAAGCTTTTCAAGTGGAAAAGTAAGGGGCTGAAGTCGTAGTAGCCAAAATAACAGTATAAAAAGTGACAAAACTTTTGTTGAACACTAGACTCTGCATGGATGGAAAGCCAGTCCTTAGAGCATCTCCTCAAAGGATACTCTGCTTTGCTTTGACTTTAATGACAGTTGTCTTAATCCATTAGATGAGTTACTCAAATTCTTCCCTTTCTGGGGACTCCAGATCAGGGAACCATGAAACTAAAATAGCCTTTGGCTCACACAATTTTAAATGATGAATTTTGTCTGGAGGATCTGTTGTCTGTAGTGTTTGGGAAGTGCTTTCTTTTCGCTTTTAACTCCTGTCTTTGTTTTTTTCCCCCCCCTAGATGTTTAGTCAGTTTCCTATTATTTTTTTAGTCTTTTCCTTAATACAACGTGTTTGTAGGCTAACAGGAGACTCATAAGCTCTTCAGTGTGAGAGACTCATAAACTCTCTCTTTGTGAGAGCTTTCAAAAAAGAAAAATCTGCCTTGATGTTTTTCTGTGCAGCCCTTGTATATTGTCACATGTCCTATCTGAGTTTAGAGTGCAGACAACTCTTGGTCCTGTGCTGTGTGTAGATTGTCATCCCTCTTCCACAGTGAAGGTGTGGTTAAGTGTAATGTGGGAAGCAGCCCTCTTGCAAAGGTTTATCATAGAATCATCACAGAATGTTGGAAGTAGGTCACACAGGAATGTGTCCAGGCGGGTTTTGAAAGTCTGCAGAGGAGGGGACTCCAGAACCTCTCTTGGCAGCCTGTGCCAGTGCTCTGTCACCCTCACAGGGAAAAGTTTCTCCTCATGTCGAGGTGCAGCTTCCTGTGTTTTAGCTTATGCCCATTACTCCTTGTCCTATTACTGGGCACCACTGAAAAGAGACTGACACCTTCCTCTTGACACCCACCCCTCAGATATTTGTATACATTAATAAGATCCCCTCTCAGCCTTCTCTTTTCAAGACTGAACAGCCCCAGTCTGTCTTCATAGAACGTGTGATCCAGTCCCTTAATCATCCTCGTAGCTCTCCGTTGGACTCTCTCCAGTAGGTCCCTGTCTCTCTTGAATTGGGGAGCCCAAAACTGGACACGGTATTCCAGGTGTGATCTCACCAGGCCAGAGTAGAGGGGGAGGAGAACCTCCCTAGACCTGCTGGACACACTTTTCTTAATGCACCCCAGGATCCCATTGGCCCTCTTGGCCACAAGGACACACTGCTGTCCCATGATATTAGTTATTTATAATAATGCAGAGGATGTATTTTCTCAAACTGTTTCAGCTTTAGGAAGGCACTGTGTAAGCAGGGACAATAGAGATTCCATGTTTGTAAAATAATGCATGCGATATGTACACAGCTCATTGCTTTGTTTTCATGGTGAAATTCTTGTGCAATGTGTTTGTAGCTTCAGGAAGCCAAACAGATGGAAAAGGAAAGGCACAGACAGCAACACCATCTCCAGCAGTCTCCAGTAAGCCATCATGAGCCTGAGTCACCTCAGCTGAGACATATTCCAACACAGACCGATCAGCTGTCCAAAGAACATGAGAGAGAGCTGGACCACAGCACGAATGATGTGGACAAAAACCTTCAGGAAGATATAGAGGCAGAAAACGGGTCTGATATTTCTAGTGCTGAAAACGAACAGACAGAAGCCGACCAAGCCACAGCAGCAGAAAGTAATCAGTGTGTATTTCTGTTTCATGGAGGGAGGGAAAAGTCTGTAAAAAGAAAGGCTTGAGGATTGTCTATTTTTTCCCTCTCCAAATCTGGCATTAGGCAAATAGTTGACTATGAAAAATGCCTTTTGCCCTTGTTACCGCTGTTAAACTTTATCACAGCTATCTTTTAGCCCTACGCTGTGTTGTAGTCACTGTAGCAAAGATAACTCTTTGCACCCATGTAACGTTAGGAAAGTGTTTGAGAATTACATCTCAAGACCACTGAGTTTTCACTGTTGAATGTATATGAAGACAGAAAATCAGTATCTTTTGTTGGCATAGTCCTGTGGATTAATTACAGGTTAAACCCTTATGTTATGCAAGTACTGTTTTCCGAGCACCCAAGCATGACTTTTTTAATGTCTACTCTCCTATTAATAGATTTGTAACTGAATTTTTAAATGTACGTGCAAGTAAAATATCTCCTTAATTGTTGAGTTTCTCATAAATATTTTTTTGGATTTGTTTTTCTTTTTAAAGATCTTTCAAAAGCTGATGGAGGAGCGTATGATGGTGAAAGCAATGAGTGTGAAGAGAAGGCACAAGAAATTGTAGAAAGTATTGTGCAGGAAATGGTGAACATAGTAGTTGGAGGTATTATATTAATATGGATCTAATTGTGACTGTAGTCTGAATCTTGACATTAAGATCTTATTTTAACACTTCTGAATATTTAAATAAAATACATCGTTATTTAAGTAACACATGCCGAAGAAAATAGTTTCAGTTTTCTGACCTTAGGTGTGCATTATTTAACAGTAAAATGGACAAGACTTCTTATGATAATATACACTCTTTATACTGGAGACCGATGTTCTTTTTTAGAATACAGAGTCCTGTTCCTTTTTTTTTTTTCTACTTTGTTTCGACATAAACTGTTCACAGATGGGCCTATATCTGTAACAGCAGTGTAGCACTACATTTCAGTGTAGCACTATATTTTTTTAGTTTGTTGGAAAATGTGTATCGGTGAATTTTTTTTTTCCTCCCCAATATGTGGAAACTTGGCAGAATGATGAACCTGGCAATGTAAAGTTATAAGGTTTTTTTATTCTAATTTTCATTACTGAGAATTAAAGAGTATGCAGAATTTTTTTTAGTTATAGAATCCTAAGTAAATTCTACCTTTCAAACCTCATTAAGATACTTTGCTTATAATTATTTTGTTTTTTAAACATTAGATGTAAACGCTCTTTTTAATTTGCATTCTCATGTAACATTTGCTTATGATTTTTACATCTTTTCTGATAGATATGGAAGGAACTGCCGAAAGTGCAGGTGGCGATGGCATGAGTGTAACATTAGAGGATGGCAGTGACAGTGAAAACATTCAGGCAAATGGAATTCCAGGGACTCCAATTTCTGTTGCTTATACACCATCTTTACCTGATGACAGATTATCTGTCTCTTCCAACGATACTCAGGTACAAGTAGTTATAAATTACGAGATACTGAGAAAAGGGATCTGTTTTAAGCGTTGCCCAACACTTCTGGAGAGAGTGTTAAATGTAATTCCATCACGTAAGTTACTCAGGTGAATTTTAATTATTAAGGTGTGTTCTAAGTATTGTTCTATTTTAAAATAATTGTAGTAGTAAATTTTGCATGTGATGCCTTTTTTATCATGACATACTTTTAGCTGCCCCATAGAGTACACTGTTCCAAGACTAGAGAACTGTGCCCTGTTTTTTGAAGTGCTCTGAAGAAACTATAGTTTTCAATACGCATGATGAAGAATACAGCCAATGATAGACATACTTGTATAACTTCAGTGTACTCTTCTGAAATGATAAATAGAAGTTTCAAGCCTATAGCATGACCTTACTGCAATGATTTTGGATAAAAAGTTTCATGTCTGCGAGGATTTGATTTTTATTAACAAAAAAGATGTGAAAGAGTACTCCCTCTATCAATCAGCACGTATGTACTATCAGCTGACAGTAGCTGCTGTCCAAGTGTACTGAGTAATTAGATTTGGGAATAATGGATTTTAAGCTTAAAAAGCTACAGTTGCATATGCCATACAAATAGAATATTAAAATTAAACACGTTGCTTAGATAAGGAACAGCAATACGGAATTGAAAGAACATAGTAATAGGAGTGATTATTGAACCACAGAAATTGTACAAAATGTATCTTGCCACAGATCTGTAGTTAGTTGCATCCTATTAAAATGTCAAATTATTTTTTAAACTGATTTTCCACTGAAACAGTCTGAAGGCAATTCGCTGTAAGTTACCTAACTTAAACTTGACCTACCTATTTTCATGTCAGTCTTTAGTTAAATCTGACTTTTTACTGAGATGATGATTTCTATTAGTGAGTTTGTTCATTTTAACTGGACTGCAGAATATTTGGGGTTTTTTTAGTATAGTCTTGAGACCATAAAGCTGTAGGAAATGGGTTATATTTGTGTAATATGTTAACTTCTTGTTGCTAGGAGGTGGGGATTTCTACCCTGCTAATGCAAAATGGAATACTGAAATATGTTAACTTCTTTAGGAATCTGGAAATTCTTCAGGACCTACCCCTGGTGCTAAGTTTTCCCACATTTTACAAAAGGATGCCTTCCTTGTATTCAGGTCACTGTGTAAACTCTCCATGAAGCCCCTCTCAGATGGACCACCAGATCCAAAGTAAGTAGAATTAAGAGTTCTCATAATGAATATTTTCTGTCTATAAGTAGAAATGAATTGTTTAAATATTTTTGAGAGTTCTCAGTTGCTGAGAAAATGATAGTGTGGTAAAAAGAACTTAGAAACTTTGAAAAGGTACTTTTATATTTTAATGCATTTTTTTGTATGAAAGCAACTGTTACTATTCATTTACCTCTTCAGAAGTTTTTTAACACTCCCTATGCTTCCTGGAAGTACATCATCTTCTTCCTTGTTGCTCTTTGTAAGGCTTTTGAGAAGGGTTTGGTAAAGAAGGTCGTTGGGTATTTTTGATCTCGGCTAATGTTGCTCTACTTGTAAGTAATAGCTCGGTTTGTAACCGTAGCTGTGTACGCCCCACAGTTTTCTGCATCTCTTGTATATTGGTTATCCAGCGCACACACCCAACTCTACTTCATCTTCATGTAGAGTCCCCACTTTGAGGGGTTACCAGTTATGATAAATTTAGGATACAATGTTTTATTCTTTTGCTCAGGTTGGACACTGTTGACAGCCTCCTTAATCAAAACACAGATGTTTGGAAATCCAAGTCCTTATTTGACTGGTTTGAAAATCTTGTCCTCTGACTGAAGATACCATGTTTTCAATTTGGCTTAGAGAATTGTTCATTGTAAACAAAAAACCACTCTCTATATATATGGGTACCAGTATTAGTTAGTTGTGAGTGTTGACAAAGAACTTTGCTTTTCTGATCTTGTATAGAATTTATATGCTTTTTCTTTTTTTCTTATTTTTCTTTTTTCTTTTTTCCTTTATTCTCTTTTCTTTTTACTTCTTTCTCTCCCCTCTCCC